GTTGTCTGTTGGGATATTAAAGATCTGATTGAATGTGGGATGTTCCCAATGGCACAGGCAGGAACCACAGAGATTTTCTGTCTCAGTTAATGTTACTTCACACACCAGCTCAGAAGGAAAACCAAACCTGTTCTTACAGATGAGGAAGCATTTCCAGAAGCAGAAGGAATGAGGCACTTGAACATTTTCTGTTAACTATTCTTTCAGAGCATCTGCTTCCCAAGGTTGCTCTTCTTCCAATCTCAGTTTGTTTTGTGCTGTAACTCCTAGAATTGCTTCAATATCTCGAATTGCCATCTGTAACAGATTCCAGGAATACAAGTTATTTAATGGGCATTATAATGGAATCCAGCAGCCAGGGTGCACAGCTGGCAGTGCCTGCCTTGCAGAGGTAACAGGGTTACACGGGACAGGATGCACCAATTAAATTTAATATTACTTTGGAGACACTGGGAGGAATTATTAGTAAATATGTACAAATCCCAGGTAAATAAAAATACAATTTGTACTCCTAATTAACTAACAGGTGTTTTATTTCACATATGTTCATGCACAATGGAGAAAAGTTCTCTCTTTTATTTTTTCTCCATGGTTGCTTTTCATTCCCTCATATTGAAAAATGGGATTTTTTTTTTGTTGTTGTTGTTTATTCTGTAACATGTTGAAATTTAATTATGTCTTCCCCAAAATCTGTCATTTCACACTCTACTGGAAAATCCAGTCAGGGTGGAAAGAATCTGCTATAAATTATGTGACATGACTGAAAATACAAATCTAACACAGCGTTCCCCTTCACCTTCCACAAAACACACTCAGGATCTTGGAAAGTTTTTTATAAAGTTAAAGGTGATGCAGCTCAGCAAAAGAAGCTCCCTGTGGGCAGCTGAGCAATTCTGTGGAATCAAAAGCAGCTTTGTGAGGAGGGCTTGTTCCAGGGCACGGGGCTGGGTTGGTGATTGCTTTGCTGGCTCTGGCTGCAAGGTGGGGGAACGTCCCCAGGGTGAGCCCCTGTGCTTTGTCCTCCCCCTCTGCAGCATCCAGGGATGGGCACATTCAAACAGCAGAGAAAATTGGGAACAAAATCCACTTGGGAAATGGATGGTGGGGTGAGGGTGGGAAGGAATGGATTAGTGGCTGCCTGCTTAAAGAAATGAGTGTTAATAATCCAAGCAGTTATTATCAACTGAGAGATTTGTTTCTAATTTGAGATTCTTACCTTGATGGTGTCCCTTTAAAATACAGCAGGCAATTGTGACAGAACTGTGTGAGGCAGTGCCAACAGCTCCTTTGCTCTTCCAAAGGACACTCAGGAGCATTAGATTACAAATAATTTCACGCTCAAGGATGTCTCTTTTCAAAGAAAAAAGTTTCAAACTTAAATTTAACTAACGGGTGCCGTGGGAGACCCACTACACTGACCCAGACACTGTAAACCACACACAGCCAGTGATAAAAAAGGAATGGTTTAGCACTTGTTTATGATCCAGCATGAGGTATTTGCAGGCCTTGTACAGAAATTAACCAGGATCGTTAGTTAATTAACACCTCACCTTAAAATTGGTCTCGCCTTGCATATTAGGTGCTGATATTTCTTGATGGATGATGAAGAGATTGCGAGCAAAGGTCAGGAGGACCCCCTGGAGATCCTCTCCGATTGTTCTGTTAATGATATCCAAACAAATGAGTTTACCAATGATTCCCTTCACATGCTTAAAAACAATCGCCCTCTCATTTGTGCCTGCCTGGTGCTGGAATTTAATGAGGATTTTCAATCTCACAAGGTGAAAATCTTCAGGGAGATATGAAAGATGAGGCTCCATTTTAACTTGTCAACGGAAAGGATTTGTGTAATAAATAATTTTTATTAATCAACTTAGCAGAAGTAAGCAGAGAGGTTTCAGCTACTCCAAGTAAAAGGTGACTGCTGAGGAAGGACTGAAGCTGCAGAACACTTGAAACACCCACATAATTTGGGAAAAACTTGCTTCAGCCTAAAATTTGGGAAAGACATTTCAGCAGGATCAGCATTCCTTGGATTGTTGCAGCTTTGGAGGTTTTGCTTTCCCAGTGGTCCACATAGACTCTCCACACCTTGTGGAACAGGGAATTACACTGATTAATAACGTGCCTCATTCACTGGAATCGACCACAGATCTCTGATGGAATAAAATGGGTAATTCTCAGAGATGTTTCAGGTATTTCAGTTATTTTATAAGCTCCAACTCCTACAATCTTGAAAATATTTCCCAATTAAGGCTATGAAATTGCTCTGAAAATGTGATGGCAGACAACAGGAATCCTCCTTGTTTCAAGTTGAGTTTATTTCTTCTTGTCCTACTACCAAAAAAATCAGATTTTCCCTTCCTGCAGAGGCTTTTTCTGTGCTGGGAGATCGTTAGCAGATCCCATTTCTGCCCTCCCTCTCCTTTTTAGTCTTTCCATGTCAGTCATGCTCTCCAGAACTCTAAACATTTTCACTGCCACCCTCTCACAGAACAGCAGGATTTCTTCCAGCATCTCCCAGGATACACTGTTTATCTTTTTCCACAGGATCCCGACATTGTTTAATTCACAGATCCTGTTTCCAAAACCTCTTTGTTCCTCATATTCATTACTGCTCTCTAAATGTAATTTCTTCCACCTGGTTCCAACCAAACCTAATTCTATTTCTCATATTGTTCCTTCAATTTGTGGAGATCATTTTGAATTCTGTTCCTGCCCTCCAGAACACTTGCAGGCACATCCAGCACTTGAAGAAGCTGTTTTGTTATCCAGGTCATTAATGAAATAGCTGCAGCATCAAAGGAATACAGAACAGGCTGAGAGCACAACGCTTCAGCTCCTCACTTATTACATCCTATTTGGGCAGGAAACTCGGGCAAGAGCAATGTAAAAAGGCATTTAACTTCACCCTCCTTTGTCTCCTGGAAGTCATGGTTTTAATAATGTTGCCTGTAGGAGTAAGGCTGTGCTAATCCATGGGAGAGATTGCTCCTGAAGGGAATGCAGCTCTCCTGAAGCCAATTCCAGCAGCTCCTGAGCCTGCTTTGCCACCAGCCCCTGGGCTCAGCACAGTCCTGGCCTTCTTGTGTTACTGAAGTGCTGAAATCCACCCTAAAACTCCCCCAAAGGCCAGTCCTGGGAGGGGTCAGGGCCCTTCTGTGAGCAGGAGGTGACAGCCAGGTATTCAGGCTGCTCATTCCCTCCCTGGCCTTTGTCACTCCCTGCACACCCAGGCTGTCCCCAGCTCTTTGTCACCCTGGGTTAGGGACAGTCCGGCTCCATTTGGAGGAATTCCTGTTCCTCACAGGCTCTGCTGGACACAGACATTTCCACAAACCCCTGTCTGACAGATGAGAGCCACAGAATTGCTCCATTTTGGTGTTTTCACAGCTTCAGTGGTCACTGAGCTCTGTGAGAGCACCGAGTCCAACTTGGCCTTGAACATTCCAGGAATCCAGGGGCAGCCACAGCTGCTCTGGGCACCTGTGCTGGGGAGGAATTTATTCCCAATATCCTACCTGCCCCTGCCCTCTCTCCCCCTTGGATAAGTTTAAACTCTCAGCAGTGCCAGAAGAACAGAGATGTTGCTCTGAGGAGCTCTGAGCAGAGCTGTTCTAAACCAGGGCTTTCCTGGTGGTGTTTTTAATGTCCCTGGGAGCAGGGACACTGCACATCAAAGCCTGTAATTTACAGTATTTTCCCTAAAATGATATTTGTTTTGACATTGACTCATTTAAGTTGACATAGCTGAAATCCTGATCTAATACATCTCTGCCTGAAAATTAATCATGTTTATAATATTCTGAGAATTAATAACACCCATTGCTCAAGTCATTAACTTAAAAAAGGAGCTTCCAAAATCTGTTTCTCTGCAGTAGGGGACCACAAATAAATGAATGCTTGATAAAATAATCCAAGCAGCAGTTTAACAAGCGTAAACTTGAATGTGGCTGCAATAACACAGAACTATTGTTTAAGGGTTGGCATCAGGTTGATGAGGTGCTTATTTCAGCTACAAAGCATGCATACACATGCATAATGAACTGCAGGATGAATTATTAATGTGTTGCTTATTTAGCCTCATCTGTCTAGAAGATAATGTATCCTAACTATAATGAGTGATTGGTTTTGTACATAATTACAGGAGCAGCAGTATCTAGGAAATTTGTTCTTTCAAAGAAGGAGTTCTAAAAATAAAATCCTCGCGCAAACTGCGGGGCTGCTCCGTTTTATCAAAATCAACCCTACCAGCATGGAGAATATCTAATAAATTAAAAGGGACAGAATCATTATTAACATCATAATTTTACACAAAGTGTTTTACTTAATCATTCATTACAGATCATGTGCAGTAAAAACATTTGTCTCTTGGTTTGTTGCTTTTTCTCTTTTCCTGGGAGACTGCAGTCTTGTAGTTAACTCTTCAGGAGATAAAAATCTCAGAAATACAGAAAGAATTAAAAATAAACAATATAATAACAATTTATGTTAATTCTGACAGAATTTTAATTAAAAAAAAAGTTGCTACTTGATTACTTTTCATTTCTAAAACTTGGACTACTGGGACTAATCAGATCTAATTTACTTCTCTCCAACTAAAAGTGGTTGCTTGAGGAGAACAATGGATCAAGAGCTCGTTAACCTCTAAATTACAGCTCCATGACATTTTTGGAATGGTGATACATTCCCTCCTCTATGGATGGTAAAAAGGGAGCTGTGAATCTTCTGTCAAAATATGGCAAACAGCTTTTGTTCTCAGTCCATACATGTGTGTACACAGACAGGGACTTCTTACTCTGACTTTTCTAAAGACCTTTCTTCCCATTTTATAAAACCCCAGAATATTTGGGTGGGAAGGGACCTTAAAGCTGATCCCATTCCACCCCCTGCCATGGGCAGGGACACCCGGGACATCCCAAGGTGCTCCAAGCCCTGTCCAGCCTGGCCTTGGGCACTTCCAGGGATGGGATTGTTCCACTTTAACTCCTACTGTGCTGTTAGCCCATGACTTCATTAGCCTGGTAAAATCCAAGAGCAGCAGTTTAAAACCTGGAGGGAGCAGCTTCAGCTCCTCTAGAACAGAACATGACCTGGGAGTTCCATGAATGGTTCTACTGGGGAACACATCACTGCTTACAGGTTTTGTCTCCTCGTGCTGAACCCCTTGGCTTTTGCTTTCCTTTGCTCCCAGAGGTGCTTGCAGGATGCTGGAGCCACAATCCAGGTTTCCATCTGTCAGGTACACCAGGAGCTGACTCAGGGCCAGCTGGTCACTGTAGCAAAGGTCAAGGTCTGTTGCCCACACCTAATCAAAAACAAAGAGGGGCATTCAAATAAATTAAAAAGAACAACAACAAGAGTAAAATTCAGCAATTGTGAAGGAACATCTCTGCCTTTCTTTGTCCTGTGTGTTGGCATTCCTGCTTTTGGCTTCCTGGTGCTGGGGCAGGGTTGGCAGTGATGAAGATGGGAGGAAGGAATTCCTGGTTGGGAGGGTGGGCAGGCCCTGGCACAGGTGCCCAGAGCAGCTGTGGCTGCCCCTGGATCCCTGGCACTGTTCCAGGCCAGGCTGGACAGGGCTTGGAGCAGCCTGGGACAGTGGGAGGTGTCCCTGCCATGGCAGGGGTGGCACTGGATGGGCTTTAGGGTCCCTTCCCACCCCAACCATTCTGGGATTCTGTGATTCCACAAACCACTTCCAAACAGGAACAACCAGAACTCTTCTGTGACCTCAGAAATAATCTTTCAGGGAGGCTGAGGGAAGCACCATGGATTGCTTCTGCAAGGCTCCTCCACCCCAATAACCAGAGCTTGAGTTTTTCCCACTTTAAAAATCCCTGCCAGTGAGAAATGTTCCCACACACCAAGAGCTGCCCTACAGAGGACCCCTTAAAACAAATCTCCCAGTGAACAACTTGCCTCAGCCCTGGAATGGTAAATGGACTCATTATAAGGATATTAAGGGGTCAGGCAGCCAAGGCCTCTTGGAAAACTGGAGTTAATTTCAGAATCATATGCACAGAGTAATGCCCTTTGGATAATGGGGAATAAATCACCCCAGTAACAGTTGTTAATGTCTAACTGCCAAGTATCTGTTGCTGTATTAAATATCCTATTTGTCAACTTAAATATTTCCTGCTGCACGGTCTAAAATGCAAATTGGATGCTAATGGCTGGCTTTACTTAGTAATAGGGGAATGTTCCCCAATTATAATACTTAATTTTCTTCAATAATTTATTGGTTATCATCACTTCTGTGAGACAGGAGGAACTTTGCTGTCCATTTCTCCTTTTCCAGTGTGTGCCAACCTTTTCAATGAGCCAAATAATAATTATAAACTATTCACATTGTGGGAGTGTTCCATTAATTTCGATAAATATTATCGACAAATCTGTGTCAATATGTCCTAGATCTTATCTGAGCTGGGTTTTACCCTCTCAATTAAAACTTTGCCCTCAGAAAGAAATGACAGAGCTGCATGAGGGAACCAGGGACTGAAAATCTTGGATATCTGAGGGCTGTTCACTGGCTCCAAGTGAAGTGTTTGCTCTCAATCCAGACCCTGATTACACCTGACCTCAAGATCCACCCTTGAAGCTTTGCTGACCACACAAACAGAGCTGCAGGAGGCAGCTGGACTGAAGGGGCACCATAAAAAAGGTTAAGCCAAAACATCCCTGTGACTGAAGTGATTCCCAGAGCAAAATGCAGGGAATGGGCTGAGGATTTATCAGCAGATAAAACATTAACAAAGCAGCCTGGCAAAGCTAAGCAGCCATCAGCAGTGGATGAATCCACTCCCCCCTCCCAGGGACCCACACAAACCCTACCAGGTGTGGGGCAGGAGTTACTCCCCAGATCCCAGATCCCACCTGGTCAGTGCCTACAATTAAAACACGAGCAAGCGACATTGTTTTCATTTCAGATGGAGATAAAAACCCAGTAATTACTTGTGTGATCCATCTCACACAATCTAAACAAAGCCCCAGCATGCCAGGCTGGCTCCAGTGCCTGCTGGCCCGTGCCCAGGAGCTGCTCTGGGAAGGATGGGAGCTCTCCTGGAGCCCCTGCTCCAGGGAATGGCTCCAGCCTGCCCAAGGGAGGGGCTGGCAGAGCAGGGAAGAACAGAAAAAGCTTTTAGCAGGGCAACTTTTGTGCTGGAAATGATGAGATTGACCAAAGACTGGTTTAAGGAGTTTCTGTTTGCTTCCAGAGGGGATTAAATAGTTTTTGTGTGTGATTTCATAATCTCAGCCCCATTTCTGCTGCTGCCTACAAAATGAAGAGTTTGGATCTACAGGGGGGATGAAGGAAGGTGTCCATCCTCCCCCCTGCTGTAACAAAGGAGAGCTCCAAAACCTCCTTACGCTTCATGTCCACCTCAGGCAAAGTCATTGTAATATTTTGCATTTTCCAATATAAGATGTGGGGAGGAGGAGGAGGAGGAGGAGGAGGAATAGGAGGAAGGCAAACATGGCTGGAAGCCACCTGTCCACCTCCTTTCATCCCTGAGCCTGGGGCTGAACCACCCCTGCTGGAACTCAGAGCAGCCAAATGGTCACTCCTTGGTGCCAGCTGGGATCACCCCCAAGGATTGTTTTCCTGGCTCAGGGCTCTCTGAGAACACTTTGGTTGTGGCCATGTCCCCTCCTGCCCTGGATGTGTCCCAGAACATCCCTGACGTGGGGGAGAAAGGAAGAAGGATCAGATGGCACAAGATTTTCCAGCTTTATCCTAGCAGGGGATTCCCTTTTGCCATGGAAACACAAAAATGTCCTTTAAATCCCCTTTGTGCTGCTACAGAAATGGGAGAACACAGGGCCTGGAAAAGGGGTCTGGCCACATAAATCATCTCCTCCAGTAAATCAGGAGCTCTTAGGAGATGACCTGTGCAAAGGTGAAGTTTAAGTAAAGAATGATACAACCCTACAGATTAACAAACATCTGTTATTGAGCCCATCCCCATTTTCTGAGCATACACAGTAAGGGCAGGGATGTAATTGTACACATTTATGATTGGGGGTGTCAAATCCTGACAGGATTGCATAGAAAAATAGCAGAACACAAGGAGTTTTCATCTGAAATGTGGGGATTTTCAGAATTTATGTTCAGAAATTAGACTGGAAAAGAACAGCCTAGAAGTGATATTTGATTTTCAAAGTCCCAAGGTAGGAGGTAGAGGCAGTAGTTAAGATTTTAGATTTAAGACTGGTTTTGGGACAAGCTAAGCCCAGAACAGATTAGGACTCTCCAGAATCACACCAATGGAAAAACAAAGAGTTAGAAATACATCCTGCAAGACCTGCTGGCTGTTTATCCAAGGAAACATTTGCTTCCAGGGGATTCTCCTTGGGCACACACAGCTTCAGAGCCGGCGCTTTGTGCTGAAGACATCTCCAGTGAATAAAGTCACAATTATGCTGGAATTCTTTACAGCTTCCATAAAAACGCTTCAGCTTTAGAATGTAAACTTGAGAAGGGAAGGAAACGTAAATTCTTAAAGAGTTACTAAATTACAGCTGGGCTCTCTCTGCTTTAACTGTTTTATCTCCGCTGCTATCGACGGCTGCGTTATTGTGAAGAGCACCCGTGCTAGTTTTAAAGAAGTGCTTGAGTGATACTGTAAAAATGTCAATTAGTAAAATATTAATGCAGCTGGGGCGTTGGAAGGAGAGTGGCTTTTATGACTTTTAAACCCTGCAGGAGGATTGATTGGGGCGGCGCTGGCAGGCTCTCCTCCGGCTGCCATCTCGTGGCAGCTGCTGGCATGGGCTGGGGCTCGCCCAAAAACTCTGATTTTAGGGCTCTGCAACTCCTCTGTGCTGCTGGATACAGGGCTGGGAAATGGTTGATGGCAGCACCGTGGCTCTTGTTGGAAAATAGCACATAAAAATGTGTTATGTTCTGTCTGGAGAGACCTTGGGACGCTGTGGGAATTGTCCAACCCCAGCACTTTATCCAATTTATTATTTCCTGCTGGGAAAGGCTGGGGCTGTGCAAAAGCCACCAGACCCATGGAAAAGGTGGCTTAGGGTCCTGCTTCTCCAAATTATGATGTAAGGAAGTCGATGTGTTTAAATATTCCCACTCAATCCAGTGGATTTATTTGGGTGCAGCTCCCAGCTGGGGTCTGACAGTCAGCACTGGGCAGGATTTCACTCTGAGGGGCCAAGGCTTGGCTTGGAATGATCATTGTGAAAAATAAAAGTGGGAATCAGAAGGGATTCACTCCAAATTATGCACCTCCACTTCTTCCCCAAGACAATGAAGACAGCACCTCCATCTCCTGTCCCCTCAAGATCAAGGCACAGGTGCCTGAAACTGAGATGGAAACAAATTCCTGAGGCCCTGAGGCAAACAGGGAATTTTGTGGAGTCCCAGCTTTCCCTGCCCCTTGGATCTCATGGCAGCCAAGGCTCTGTCTGCCCACTGAGCTGTGTGACAACACACATTGTTCCTTATCCATCCTTTTCTCCTAGTGCTCCAAAGATCAATATTTTCTGTAAAACACACTTGGAAAGAATTCCTGAGTATCCAGGAAATGCATCTGAGCCTCCCACCTACTGCATTCAAGGGGACACTTGTGAAAGGACTGAGCAAATGTTCCAAAGGTCTGATAGGATTTCTTGTTTGCCAAAAAAATGGTGCTTTCAGGAACACAAGCCTTTGTGTGATCTCTCTCTCTCCCAAGACAGATGGCCTCATTAATTGCCTCCACATCCAGTTAAATTTAAAAACCTGTGCTTAAATAATGTTAAAGTTGTGGTACATGCTGATAAACATAGGAAATGTTAAGGTAAAAATCAGCTGGGAACAAGGGAACAAAACCAAGATGGAACAGACAGGAATTCTAAGAAACCACAAGGATCACCAAATGATTTAATGTGTCCTTGTTTGTTCCAGGAAATGTCACAACCTTAATAATCCAGGAAGCAATCCTGCACGTCAGTGACCTCCTGGCTTGAGTGGAGCAATTGGCAGAGCTCCCGTGGATTTCCGTGGGTGAGAATGTCATCCCTTCATCTTTCTAAAGAACTTTCATGGAACTTGGCCAGTGTGGCTCATCCAGAGCTCTGGTTACAATGCCTGTGCACATCCATTCTGGGAGTCAAATATAACTGGGATCTGAATTCACAAACTGCTGTGAGGGCCAGGCCCTGGCACAGGGTGCCCAGAGAAGCTGTGGCAGCCCCTGGACCCCTGGAAATGTCCAAGGCCAGGCTGGAAGGAGTTTGGAGAAACCTGGGATAGGGGAAGGTGCTAGAACGAGGGGTTGGAATGAGATTGTTTTTAAGGTTCCTTCCTACCCAAACCATTCTGTGATTATTCTGATTCTCTGGTTCACCACAGCCACCCTTACACTGCTGTCAGCTCCCAAAAACCTCAAAGTTCCCCAGCTCCCCACAGCCTTGAAATCCAGGGATGTTCCCTTTACAGTCAAACATCCTAAACACTGAGGTCCTCAGTGAAAATTCCAGAAGAAAACAATGTCAGGAGCGTGAAAAACAAGGAGATGCCTCAGGTCTACATGTGGTGCTGTTAGAAAACCCCTGTGCTTCCCTCAGCTCACGTGCCCCAGAGTTTGGAAATTGCTTGTTCCAAAGGGCAAAGCTTTCTCCTGGTATTTTTTGGAGTTCCACAGGAAAGCTGGAATTTCTCAGTCTCAGGGAGACAGGGTGAGGTCCCAAATCTGCCCCACTCACCTGCTGCTCCCTCGTTTGGGGATGGGTGAAAGCCACGAAGTCCACGGAGAAGTAGCCGAGCACTCCTTTGGATTTACAGGCCTCCCCAATTTTCAGGCAGAGAGCTTTGAGAACCTCAGGATCCACGGAACGCTGTGGGATGGTGGTGCCAGAAGATCTGAGGGGCCCCTCAGCGTGGAGCTGATCTCCAGATGACAGCAGTGTCACCTCCCCCGTTGGCTCTATCAGCAGATCCACCGTCAGGTTGGTGACACTGCCCGAGGACGGGAAGGCTTCGATCACCCCACCTGGAATTGGAAAGGAATTCTCCTGGGATCAAATCCAGCAGTGCTGCCCTTCAGAGTGCACAGGATGGAGCCAGCAGCTCCAGGGGGAACTGGAGAAACAGCAAATAAATCAGTGCAAGGGGAGCAGCAGAGCCAGAATCGTGGATCTCTTGGAGGAGAAAGGAGTTTAATTAGTGGCTTTTCATTGCCACTTCCAAAGTGGATCAATCCCACAGCTGACTGGAAAACAGGCTCTGGGGTAGCAGGAGTGAATCCAGCTCAGCACCAGCCCACAACAGCTGGGAAATGCAATGTTGGGATTTGGGGGATGGTAACTCCTGCTGGGAGCTCATCTTGGAGACTCCCATCCATGTAATGGTCTTAGATAAGAGTCTGCCTGTGGCATTCACCCACAAGAGGAATTTGGCACAGAAATAACAATTTCCAGCATGGTTTTCCATAGGAAAATCACCAAGGTAACTGCCTGGCATTCTGGATTTGCCTTTTCCTTGCATATAATGCCATAATCCAATTTGTTGGGACAAAAAACTATGTAATAAAATTGGTACTAGATGTGTTAAGTGGCACTATTTAAAAAGAAAAATGTCTTCAAGGCTTTGATTCATCCTTGTCTCTTCCATAAAGAAATCTATATATTAAATATTCTTACATTTACCTCACGTGCTGGAATTCCCTAAAACCTTTCCCCAAATGTGACAGCCTTTGGTGACAGCCAAGGATTAAGGAGTTGGTGCTTATGGATTGAGAATCCAGGATTAAAATGGACTAAAAGCTTGGATAGGACAAATGAATGATAGAACAGTGGCCTATAATTCATTGGTAAATGAACATTTGAAGCATAATGGAGAAATAAAAGGAGATAAATATTTAAATGGGCCCAAGACTAACAAGAATATGGCAGACAATATGGCATAATTACTCCTTCTAACACTTCCCAGCGACTTTGCAGTCTTATTTACCTTGAGTAAGAAATGTTTGGAGGAATTTTTCCCATGTAGGGAATCGTTTCTCATTGACTGGCTGTACGTGCTGTGCTAAAAGGCCCGGCAGCTCCTGGGAGATCTTCACCAAAGCTAGCTCCTGCAGAAACAAATTAAATAGAACCACAAGCAATTTTACTACAGAAATGAAAACTGCTTGTGGGGTGATTAAAAACCAGGCCTCCAACAGGCAAAAAAAAAAAAAAAATGTGGTTACTGTTTACCCACAGTCAGGAAGCCTTTTTTAATTTTTCTGCTTGCTCCTCTTCCCTCCTCCTGCAAACTGTCCTTCTCTGAAAGCCAGTCCCCCTCTCAGCACAGCATCTCCTGCATTATAATTTATATCAATAATTGGATCTGGCATCTGAAAATGCCAAGTACTTGGTAACTGCTTTGGGATCAATAGCAGCAGTCAATAACTTGTACATTGCTTGTATTTTGAAGCAGCATATTGAAATAGTCACATATGTCAGCAATAGTTTTGCTGGTTCTGTGTTCAAGCTCTTCTATCAACCCAAACACCCTTTAGATAGAAAAAAAAAAAAAAAAAAAAAAAAAAAAAAGGAATAATCAAGCAAAAGCATTTCTAAAGCAGGAGATATCCTTTTAAATCTGTAAAATATCTGTAACAAATTCCCAAGTGCCTGTGTCTTTGGTGGAATTTGATTAGTCACTCCACAGCTACAACAGCTTTTTTCCTAGTTTTAAATTCTTTATTATCACACACACAGCCCAGCCCCATTAAATACAGCAAGTAACTGCTCTGCTTTTACTGCTCCCCAAAGTCCCAGAAGAACAGGAGCATATAAAGTGCAAGGACCCTGACTGGATTGCTTCAGGCTCCTTTTCTTGCTGCTTCATGAGCCTCCCCCTGCTCCCCTGGGGCTCTTTCCTCTGTTTTCCATCCCCTCTCCTCAGCACCCCGTGCTGCAGCAATGACCAGCCCTCCTCTGGTCCTGCCAATGTCCTCAGCCACAATCACCTCATCCCAGGCTCTGGAGGAACATGAGGAAACCTTATGGCTGACAGCTAAGAATAGCAAATAAAAAATTAAAGCTGTTTTTCCGGAGCAGTGAGTTTGTAGAGATGGGCTTTGTCATGGAGCACATGATGGAAAGTAACCAAAAATGCAAATTCAAAATGACTTCACTGGGATTTGCCTACCAGCACGAGGAGGATGGAGCAATGATTGGAATCACTGGATGGTTTGGGGGGAAGGGAGCTGAAATCCCATCCTGTGCCACCCCTGCCATGGCAGGGATACCTCCCACTGTCCCAGGCTGCTCCAAGCCCATCCAGCCTTGGACATTTCCAGGGATCCACAGCTGCTCTGGACAACTGGGGAATCTGGGATGAACTCTGCATGCAGGAGAGCTGGATAAACCCTGCTCCTGGCTGCAGCCACCCTGAGACTGCAGGAAAGGGATTTTCCACCTGGGCCTCAGCTGCCCAGCCATGGAAGGGGGACAACTGAGGGGAAAAATACCTTAAAAATATGGAGGTGCTCAGATGGTGATGCTGATATGGGATATGTGGGCTCCTATCGTATAATAAAGAGAAAAACATGTTCTTGACTTTAAAAATATCACAAAAAAGGGGTTAAAAATGGTTTTAGTCAGTAGATCAATACACTAAGCAGCACAACCTCATGGCAAAAACAAAGGAGCATGTAAAACATAAGATCCAAACTCAGAATTTATCCATAAAACAAAGGAGCACATAAAATGTAAGATCCAAACTCAGAATTTACCCCCCAAAAAAAAACCCCAAAAAACAAAGGAGCACATAAAACATGAGATCCAAACTCAGAATTTACACAACTTCAGCTCTTTACCCTGCTCATTTCCTCAGGATCTGGAGGAATTTTGGTTTTGGATGGCTGAGCTGACTGCAACAGCAGAGCAGTGAGCAAATACCCATTGGCCTTGTGTGGGTTTGTATTTGTGCTGAATTATTGCTGAGCCAACAAGGCACAGGCTGAGGTGGCTCATGAAAATCCTCTCATCTTTGGAGAGAGGATGTGAGCCATGATGGATGGCCTGGAATTGCTGCCCCACAAATCAGTTCCCAGCTGGCAGTGCACCCAGCAACACCCCTGTCACTCCCACCTCTGAGACCTGCTGACTTGGGGGATGGAGCAATTTAAACATTTATACAGAAATATAAACACAAACAAAGCATGAGGTGTGCAGTGGTTGCCTGAAAGATTTTGATAAATCACAGGGGGAAAAAAACCCCAGGAATCTCTGCTGGGTGGGGAGGCATTTGGAAGTGCTGTGCCCGGGTTTTGTGTGAGGAACAATTAAAGTGGGACACAAATTTCCAGTGCCACAGTTCTGAGCTCTGTCCTTTCACACAGAGCTGGAGGATCACACGTGGCTGTGGAAGAAACCTCCCTAACCTGGCTGCAAAATCAGGCACAACTTCCAAGGAAATTTTCTGTGCCTTTTGAAAGTTCTTTTTGCACATCTAAGGATGTTGCTTTAGGATAATAAATCACGGAATCCTGGAATGTTGTGGGTTGGGTGGGAACTTAAATCCCATCCCATTCCATCCCTGCCACTATCCCAGGTTCCAACATGGCCTTAGACACCTCCAGGGATCCAGGGGCAGCTCTGGTGAGTGTGAAGGATGTGAGCACCAAATGTGTCTGACAGAAACAAAGGCTGCTCCAAGCCCATCCAGCCTTGGACATTTCCAGGGATCCACAGCTGCTCTGGACAACTGGGGAATCTGGGATGAACTCTGCATGCAGGAGAGCTGGATAAACCCTGCTCCTGGCTGCAGCCACCCTGAGACTGCAGGAAAGGGATTTTCCACCTGGGCCTCAGCTGCCCAGCCATGGAAGGGGGACAACTGAGGGGAAAAATACCTTAAAAATATGGAGGTGCTCAGATGGTGATGCTGATATGGGATATGTGGGCTCCTATCGTATAATAAAGAGAAAAACATGTTCTTGACTTTAAAAATATCACAAAAAAGGGGTTAAAAATGGTTTTAGTCAGTAGATCAATACACTAAGCAGCACAACCTCATGGCAAAAACAAAGGAGCACGTAAAACATAAGATCCAAACTCAGAATTTACCCAACAAAAACCAAAGGAGCACATAAAACATGAGATCCAAACTCAGAATTTACACAACTTCAGCTCTTTACCCTGCTCATTTCCTCAGGATCTGGAGGAATTTTGGTTTTGGATGGCTGAGCTGACTGCAACAGCAGAGCAGTGAGCAAATACCCATTGGCCTTGTGTGGGTTTGTATTTGTGCTGAATTATTGCTGAGCCAACAAGGCACAGGCTGAGGTGGCTCATGAAAATCCTCTCATCTTTGGAGAGAGGATGTGAGCCATGATGGATGGCCTGGAATTGCTGCCCCACAAATCAGTTCCCAGCTGGCAGTGCACCCAGCAACACCCCTGTCACTCCCACCTCTGAGACCTGCTGACTTGGGGGATGGAGCAATTTAAACATTTATACAGAAATATAAACACAAACAAAGCATGAGGTGTGCAGTGGTTGCCTGAAAGATTTTGATAAATCACAGGGGGAAAAAAACCCCAGGAATCTCTGCTGGGTGGGGAGGCATTTGGAAGTGCTGTGCCCGGGTTTTGTGTGAGGAACAATTAAAGTGGGACACAAATTTCCAGTGCCACAGTTCTGAGCTCTGTCCTTTCACACAGAGCTGGAGGATCACACGTGGCTGTGGAAGAAACCTCCCTAACCTGGCTGCAAAATCAGGCACAACTTCCAAGGAAATTTTCTGTGCCTTTTGAAAGTTCTTTTTGCACATCTAAGGATGTTGCTTTAGGATAATAAATCACGGAATCCTGGAATGTTGTGGGTTGGGTGGGAACTTAAATCCCATCCCATTCCATCCCTGCCACTATCCCAGGTTCCAACATGGCCTTAGACACCTCCAGGGATCCGGGGGCAGCTCTGGTGAGTGTGAAGGATGTGAGCACCAAATGTGTCTGACAGAAACAAAGCAGGATTTTAAACAAATCATCAATTCAAGAAAATCTGCCAAAGCTCCCTTGAGCCCCAAGCCAAGGTGGCAGTGCTCTGAACAATGCCTGGGCAGCCAGGGTGCTCACAGAAGGGAGTCACCCTTTAAGGATCAGCTCCTGGAATTCTGCTTGGAGGGTTTTTTTGCAACTGTAAGCTCTAAAAAGGCAATAATCCCGATTATAGGGAGTTTTAGTAGGCAAATTCAAGCCTGGATCCAACATTCACTCATGAAGTCAAACCTTTTAAAAGGATCAGTGCTCAGCTGGCTAATTTCATTTAAATTGGACAGTATCTCCAGCAGAGCCTACCAATGTTTTCTCTCTTGATGTGGCCCAAAACAATCCAGGACCACAGGCTCAACAGAAACACGGAGCATTTGTTCCAACCTTGCAGCTGATGTTTCTCAGTAGCAGTAAAAACGAGCAGCCCGAATATTGTTTACATCGTGTAGAAATCTTTACATCTCTCCAAATTGATTTAGCACCTTCTTATAACAATGAAGAAGCACCAAAACCCAAAAAATTACAGTTTTTCCCCACTAAATGAGAAATAATTTCTCACCCTTCTGCAAGATGAATTTTGAAAGGTTTTCTTAGGCAGTTGCAACACAAAATTAGGACCAAGCATGGCAGATGCTGAAGGCAGTGGTAGGAAATCTGCTGGAGACAGAAAGAAAAAGAAAGAAAAGCTGAAAAGCCTGTTGGGAAGAAAAATAAATAAATAGGAAGAAGAAATAGAAACAGGAAGAAAGATCTGGGAAAAGCAAGAGGATGCAGAGCAGGATGCATTAGCTAAAAACCAGATGGAAAGGAAATTATTTGGACCTTGCAAGCATACGGAGTGAAGAAAGCAACTCCAAATTCCTTTAAGGAAAGCTGAGTGGGCCAGAGAGGAATAAAATCAGCAGAGAGCTCCTGAGCAATACAAAGTGCCACGACTGCTGCAGTCAGTGGAGCTGTGGCAATTTATGGCCCTTGGATGGCACAGTGACAATTGCTACCATTGATAAGCACATCCTTTCTCTTGTGAGCAGTGGAGCTGGGATAACTCACCCCAGTCTGGGTGGGCACTGGACCAGCCCAGCTCCTTC